GGTGGGGGGGTATTAAAACGTGCAAACGCCACAGGGAAGCGCCGTCCAGGAGCCCCCGGGATCGAGGCCCCGCCCCCCGAATGTTGTTTCATTCTAGGTTTTTTTTTTGCATTTCAGATGAGTCACTTCGCTCACTGCAGAAGAACCGTGACACTCATTTAGAAGATAACATGAAGGAAGTTACTGAAAGACATTCACATTACAAAGGGCTCGTTAAACAATCATACGACGTGCGCGCACACACACACACACACACACACACACACACACACACACACACACACACACACAGCAGCTTGTCTTATGGCCCGTTCTTTGGCATTCAATCAAATGCTTAAAAGAATAAAAACAAAATTGCCTCATCACACCACATGACACCCGCGCGTCCACAAATGGACCGACGTGTCTTCACCATCTTTCAAAATAAAGCGCCAGTACCGTCCTGTTTGGACACTTAAGCGCTCGCAGGGGGTCGACATTGTACTTAAAATGTATAGAGGGGACTTTCCCGCTCGCTCTCTGTGCGACCCGGCGCATCATTTAATAAGTCAAGACATGTGATCGCCTTCACTGATTGGTGTCAGTTTGAGATCACGTCAGTCAGGCGAAGCGGCCTGATGGCTGCGTGAACTCATTTCATGTCCCGTGAGCACTACATCGCTGGCACGTCGGTGTTTTTAGTGGCGACGGTAACAGTCAATAACGTCCAAAGTCTGCAGAAGAATAGAAGCCGACTGAGGGACTTGAGATGAGATCGCACATCAATGAATGCAACACATCTATGAGACACAACGTTGTTTTTATTAAAGCAATACGGTCGAGTGACACGTCTGTGTGAAAGTTATTTACTCTTTCAAGGGAATCACTGTGTAATCGATTTATATTACATCAACCCATGAGGGATTATTATCTAATGAGCTATAAACGTGCCCGTTGTGTGTTTTCTCTTCTCTTCTCCTCGCTGAGATTAATTCTGACGCTGATTTATGTCGCCCACATTCCACAGACGCTCGACCTCCTCACTTCTAACCGTCACGTGTAAACTTGGAGCGGCACGTCTGAGTCACAGTCCGACGTTGCCCCCCCCCCCCATCAGCGCTTGTACCACATGGTACATGGACGGGACGGAGGTAACGGGACGGAGGCTGTTAAGCTCTCGCTCTCTCTCGCTCTCTTCCAGCTTTCTCTGGGAAGTAAACTGGGGACAGTTGAAAACAGGAAGTAGGGCCCGCCGTGTGACTCGATCACACTGGCTTCTAATATTAGACTCACACACACACACACACACACGGCCCGGCCCCCGTTTCCCTCGGTCCGCAGAGAGGACTCCCCTCTACTACGGGGGGGGGGGGCCTTCCCTTCCCCTTTTCTGTCTCTACGTGAGTTTACTGAGACCTCGAGACGAGACACGACTGCACCGTCGAATCGGTCAAACCAGCGGCGGCGGCGTCGCCGCGCTCCCCGACGTGCGCGTCCTTCGGGGGGAGGAAGCGCTCGAGACCGACTTCCTGAAAAAAGGAGCGTAAACAAACAACACCGTTGTGTACGATGCTGCCGAGAGAAAAAGCTAAATTCCTGTGCAAAGTGTAAATTCACATGTTATAGATTATATTATTGCGTTTACTTTGCGATGAGCGTGTTGGATGTTGAGAACCGTCGATGGAGCTTTAATACGTTTCGTGCCTTCGTGCAGAAAGCACACGTTCACTTAATGGAAAGAGGTCTTCATTCCCGTCTCTGGTGTTATTGGGACATTTTAAACACTCGTTTTCCCGCCTCGCTCTTCTCTTTATGGACAGGTTTCAACGCGGCGGCTTCCTTCACGTTAAAGGCCGGCGCAGGCGTCTGCGTCGACGCACTCGTTTAAATCCATGGTTCTGCGTGTGTTGCAGAACAACAGGCGGAGTGACGTGTTTTTGTTGAAGACGACCCGGAGAGTCACGTCTATTTATTTGTTTGTTTATTTATTTATCATAGACTTTATTGCCCCGTGCATCGACGCTGCTGCTTTTCATTTTCCTCCGCAACTTTGTTCCTCTCGACCGGCAAACCGGCGTCTGCGGCGATCTCCCTCCGTGAATCCAACCCGCTTCTACAAGCCGTCACATTTACGCATTTCTTCCCCGACAAAAGTTCTTAAATCTGATCCGTTCTCAGCGTAAACATCCTTCGTTTTAATAATGGCGGCGTCGGGCTATTGGCGGAAATGTGAGACTCCGTAGAGGACGTAGTTCGCAGCCTGGTGCGCTGCGGGAGGCTTGCGTCGCTCGCCTAGAAAAATGTCTCGACACACGCAAGGACGCAAGGAGGCGTGAAAAGCGACGCAAGGGACACGCAAGGGGGGGTCTTGTGTCTGCGTCGCTTTGAAGACGCCGAAGCATAAACCAGGCTCAAGTCGCGGTTCGTGTGTGCAGAGCAGAAACTGGGGACCGATCCAGGAATCTGATCCTTTTCTCGTCTCACGGACACCACCTGTCGGGTCGGACTTTTTTAAAACTACCCAATAAACACAGACAGACGGGTGGGGACGAATCATAGCGGAGTCTGCTGTGCAGTATTATTTATTTTCATTTCAACTCCTGAAACATGGGGATTCTCTACTTGAATGAAGCAAACGACGTGAGCGTCAGCATTTTCTGGCTTCGCACGTAAATGACTATTGAGTATTTCATCATTTGAATGATGTATGGGAAATTTTTTTTACATCATACAAACACCGAGTCCTACAGTCGTGTCATCAAAGGAACATCACGTTTCACAATATCATATTCCCTGTGAGAAAGAGGAAATCTGAATAGTACCCTTCTTCTTCTTCTTTGGAAAGAATAACATCTTCACTTGTTGCTTGTGGAGTCCGGGAGACGTTTACGAGCACATCCTACCGATCCAGTAAAGTCTGTTGCTGAGGACGAAAGGACGAAACGTGTAGCGGAGCAAGCTTTGTTCTGAAACGCTTCCAGACAATGTCCCCCTCTCTAATACCCAGACACGGAGACAAGAACTGTCCAGATACCAACTCTTTTCCAGTTAGCAGGTCCTGACGTAGGCGACATTGGCCACGCCCCTTCAGGCTTCTGCCCGAAAGCCACCCCCCCCCCTAAACCGTCGTTGCCAACGCAAACAGTGAATCCTGGTCGTGCTCTCGAGCCGGCAGCTCGTGGGAAGACCTCCGGGCGAGGAGCAGCGAGCGCACGGGCAGAACACGGGCCGTCACAGCGTTTTAGATTTGGGCCTAGTTGACCGATTGGACGAGCTCGGGTAAAGTCCCCCGGCCCCCAACGGGGTCGGCCTCCCGGGTTCCCGGAGCATTCCGCTGATTGTGTCGGGGCGTGCGGAGAGAACTCCCACAAATAAATAATCACCCAAAAATGCCTTTGAAGAAGATTACTTTCTGCAGCTGAAGGACGGTGGTCACGCCTCCGTGCCTGAAAACACCAGGTAAGGGGGACGCAACCTACGCTTAACTGTTCAGTCGCCTCGAGGGGATGTCAAGTGATTTTTTGGTCTGAGAGGACATAACAACACACGATGCAGCTCATGCCGAGACGTGCTCAACCTGAAGGGCCCGCGCGGGAGCGTCTTCAAACACCCCCCTTCAGAAAGAAAACATACATTTATTTTGAGTGAATTAAAACACGACAGATCTTGTTTGCGGTCTGCTGACTTGTAATCGTTTTTCAGGCCATTTTTACAAGGAATAGTAGCAAAACTCCACAGGCTTTGTCATAGGGTACTAATGCAGTTCAAGAATGGAATTGTTACCGTGGCAACGTGAAAAACGTCACTTCAAGGCTTCCTTTCCTCCATCCTGTGTCATCATCTCCCTCCCCCCCCTCTCTGCCTCTCTCTAATGGACCCGGTGGCCTCATCAATAATACACTCAAACATACGTCGGCTCCGGCAGCCTCAGACAACAATGAGCGGCGTGCGCTCGTGCCGCTGTGCCGGCGGCGCATCGCACCCTCTCTCTCCTCCTCTGCAGTCTGCTGTGGGTCAACAACAAACGGGATCTAAACTGTGTGTGTGTGTGTGTGTGTGTGTCCGCGGGGACTGCTGTTGTGTGCATCTTCCGCCACACTTGCCACAGTGTTTACTTACTTGCATGTGTGCATGTCACATGACCTCGTCTCTCACAGTGTAATAACAACACATTACATTACAGGTCTTTTAGAAGACGCTTTTATCCAAAGCGACTTACATTACACTTTAAACCCATGGCTTTTTCACATTTTGCCTGGGGAGCAATTAGGTGCAAGTAGGGTTAGGTGTCTTGCTCAGGGACACTTCGACATGGGGCAGCTTGGAATCGAACCACCAACCTTGTGCTTCCCAGGCTTCCCAAGACTAAGAACCACCTGCGAGCTCATCTTTTGGGTTTCACAGCCCAACGACTTCACTTTTGCTGCCGATCTCGGAGAACATTTAGCAGCCGAAAGAGCCAGATGGCAAAAGATCTTTGGCTCACGCGCGACGGCCTTAGCAACCATGCAGAGGTGACGATGGGTCAGTGTTGTGTTTACAGCCGTCTCTCAAGAAGAATGTTGTCCTTACTTAGGCATATGTACCTAACCCCCTCCCCATGGGTGATCCATGGATAAAATAGTGTGATTTGAAGTGATATACTTGGGTCTTAGTCATTAGGAAATACATAGTAGCTCATAATGATGATCCTGCTTCTGCTAACTTTTATTTAAGCATGTTTTTTTTCCACCAAAGGCCTTTATTCTGTAATGTTGGAACTATCTTCAGTTAATCATTTGGTTTAATTGTATATCAAGCTGAAAGGCCTTCGGGTCAGTGGCTCCAGCTGAGGTGATGGAGGATAACACAAGAGGTCGCAAATTAAACTCAGCTCAGGTGTCAATTCGATTGATTGTGAAGTGATTCTGCAACTTGACCCCACGGAAGTCCTGGAATAACCACGACGGGGCCGTTATAAAGGCAACACATGGATCGACGGATGAACACGTGGTCGCCGCGCACGCCGCGCGGCTCCTTACCCAGTCCTCGAAGTGCTTGCTCCCGCGGTGCAGGATGTCCTCGAAGCGGATGACGCAGTTGGCCACGAAGTCGTCGCAGCCGATCGGCGCGTCGTGGAACACCGACAGCTCGATGCCGCGGCCGCCGCGCACCTCCGCGGTGAACTCGTCGTTCCAGGCGGGGCTGTTGGTCTTCTGCTTGGTGGACGTCTGGCCCACGCGCGAGTCGTCCACGTTCAGCGCGATGTACGTGTCCAGCAGGAAGCTCTGGGTCTTGGGGCCGACGGCGTGACGCAGGGACCAGGCCGTCGGCTTGAGGTCCAGCGCCTCCCGGATGCGGATCCGCAGCGTCCCGTTGAAGATCACCATGGCAGCGGGGTTGCTTTTTTTTTTTTTTTTTTTTTTCTTATCGCGGTGGAAAAGCCTCAACTACCCCCCCCAACACCCCCAACTCACCCCTACACCCCCCTACAAAGCCCCAGCAGGGACGAATAACCAGGGCTCCGTTCAACCGGTGGTCCTCCGGGCAGATCCCGTGAACCCCTCCGGTTGAAAACGACGGAGGAAACGGACACTTGTT